GTTACACTGATGTTTTCTACAAGCATCTAAATATATATATGTATATACCTTGTACATTTTGAACTTTTAAGCCGCACGCAATATCGTTCTCTAATTTTCACCTGTTCTGTCTGTTGAAGACTGTTCAGTATGTAGATACGATGATGATGATGATGATGATGTGCATCTCATTAAATGGGGCCAAAAGTGGAGAAGGAGAGGATGAAAGGTGGATGAAAAGTAAAGACGAAGAAAACAGAGAAGGTGAATGAGGAGCAACCGGGAAATTTTACTGGCCAAACTGCAAACACAACAACACTGAACTGCGTCATCAAAGCCGCTGTGGTCAACGTCCTAAACTGACAACGGTGCCAAATTTGCCAATGGTAATACCAACCAATAAAACCGAAAATAACCACATTGATCGGACGCCACTTTGTTTTCTACCATAGACAACGTCGTCGCTACTACTACTGCTACTGTTATGTCTTCCCGGTGCATGTGCGTACCGTTTGACGATGGTCATAACAAATTTTTGCCATCAGCGATTAAATTACTTTGGCCGGTTGTGTACATTTGTTACAGCCAAGATAGCAGTTGTTTGAGGTGCATTAATTTTCTTGAAAATGGCTAACAGTAGTTCATATTACTGTTTTTCTCCAACTGTTTTGTAATGTGCAAATACTAAAACCAGAAAAATTTGAACATTTAAGTCTTTTTCATTTTAAATTTTTTACTTTTACCCACCTGATTTTGATGTTCGCCTCCGTGCTGGTGAACTGTACGGCACTGTTACAGAAATGGAAAAAGATTTCTAAATTACGACTACATGCAATAACAATAAATTTTGCTTTTCACTAAAGTTTGACTGTATGCTGTTATATACACAAATGTCCTCATCATATCCACCAACACTGTCGTGTATGACGCAGTAATGCGCATAGTTTAAATATTTGTAGTTGAAATCAAACTGAACACAAGAAAAACTGCTCAAATATCAAAAATAATCCTACTGATCTCAACGCAACATATGACGATTTCTTTCTTTATCGCTCGATATTGATTCTTCGACCAGAACAATGGAGAAAAGTAGTGTTGGTGCTGTGATGTGTGGTAATTTGAGTGTCATGGTTTGTCAATAGAAACCCTTTTTACAATTTCGCTCTCTTCTTTAGACCGTTTTTATTTTAGATTTCAGT